TTCAAAATTCAACAAGTGATTCTTTAACAGAATCTACAAATTCAGAGGCGTTTTTATTTCATAACCCTTGGTCAATTCCAGAATTTACAGTTATTCGACCTGTAACTCTTTCTCGATCTTCACGTCCTTCACGGCCGTCACGACCTACTCAATCATCGACATCATCTCGACCAAATGCAATTCGTGAATATTACAACAATTTTCCATTTCAAAATTCATATTCGAATAATAATAATGATAATAATCCACCAAGGAGACGTTTATCGAACTCTTCATTGAATTCATCATATCATACAATGGAACAACAATCACCTACTATCATCTCAAGTCAAACTGCATCACATAATCCATATAATGCTAACTTTTATGATCCATTAAATTATCATCAATATCTCATACAAAATCATTCTTCACGCGAAGCATTTTGTTTTTTATCAAGTCGTTCATCTTATTTAAATGAAAATGAAGTTATTGAAGATAATAGCCTTCCCTCGGAAAGAAATTCTAGTGAAAATGAATGTGAACAACAACAAAACCAACTATGTGAAGAATGTTATTTATGTTTGGAACCTTTGGAATTAAGAGGGGGTAGAATGATTATAAATCCCGGTTGTGGTCATTCAATACATATGAAATGTTACATAGAATATACAAAATATTTTAAAGAACAATGTACGCTTTGTAAAAGAGATTTTGGCAATTGAGATAATTAATAAAATCAAACTCTAATAGATTTCTTTTCACTTTTTTAAAAAATAAATAAATTAATAGTAAAAATACGTGCATCTTCGGAATAAAAGTTATTCGAGTAAACAATAAAAATGAAATACTGGAATTACAAAGGGTACCCTTTCCTGTTGCTTGCAAATTTTTTTTTTTTTTTTTTAATATTATGTTTATTTAATGCAAGTTTGAATGATATATATAAATCATATGAAATTCGTTTTTACAAAAGCCACCTTTTTCAACTCATCCTTTTCTTTCTCTATTCAAAAAATTTGTTCATCGCAGCTGCAAGGAAATTTTTGAATTTTTGAAGGGCATGTATAAACTTTTTCCATGAAATTTAAATAATCACCTTTTATAGATTTTGACTTATTATAATTTTAAAAGTCTTCCAAATTTCTTTATTGCCAACTAGTTGAAAACTTTTACATCTTGAACTTTACCATCATAAATTGATTCATGTACATAAGAAAAAAATACAATTTTGAT